CATTCCTGATATAACGTCAGAAACGCTAGAGCGGAAGAGGCGCTTGGTAGGGTAGTGTGCAGTCAAGAAGCTTTGAACCACTTTCAGGCCTTCGAAAACGACGAGTCCGTCGAAACCTCGGCCACAATTAATATTTCCACCTACCAACCTCGACGCAGAAGCAAAATCAACGATTTCAAGAACACACTATACCGCTTTCTTTAGACATCGCCAGTAGGTCACTTGTAGTTATTTAAACATGCGGATGAAAGCGTCGTAAATCGCCTCTGTAGTGTGTTTGTCATCGCATGAGCACGATGTCTCACTTGTACTTCTCTGAATTCGACTACAGCGCCTTCTCCGGCTTCAAATCAGGATTAGCTGACCCTGTTGCTCCTTCTTATTCCTACGAGTCTTTGTATTTAGCTAACCCACCACAATACACTGTACCACCCCTGTTTTATGCACCTTCACCCCTTCCACCACTTGCAACTTCCCTTTCTGTTACCCCGAATGTTGTAGCACCCAATTCCTTTTACTTATCCTCAGCACACGAAAGCACTGTGAGCTCTGTGAACCAAAACCCTTTGTCTTCAGAAACCCAAGGGGCAGCTTCAGCTACCTCCAATCCGGAGCACACCCTAGTGCAAAAATATGTTGGCGAAAGGCAGGTAAGCAAGGGAGGGAAGCATCACGTACTAATTTATCGGATTCCAGGCACAACGCGTTCCCTAACGTTCTACAAGAAGCACACAGGCAAAAACAGTGAAAGCTACACTCACTGCCTGGCGGAACGAAGAAGAGGGGGTGACGGGGGACCAGCACAACGCATTAAAGTGGGTGAAGAAACTCAAGGAAAACACTTGCAGCTTTTCACAACTTCAATTTCAGGTTATCGGGAACGTCTTTCTGAGTGACCCTTGTAGCATGAATCACGTATGTTCCCCTGGGAAATACACTAAAGAAAGAGGAAATCGGCATGTGTATAAGGTACTTTTCATATTCAACGTCGATAACATTGATTCGAGTTCTTTAGGTGGCGCAGAACATAAGGCGAAATTCGTCTTATGCAGGAAAGAAACCAGCTCAAGTCTACCTTGATATGGTAGCAACACCCCTTGAAGCTGAGAACGGTGAAATTCTCGAGCATTTCTTCGGTTTACTAAATCCATTTGAGTTTTTTATTCAACCTTATTTCAGAAGAGGAGGAAGATTCCATCAGGGCTTCGATACGTCGATCAGGATATCAGGCTAGAAGAAAGGTGTTGGCAAATTAGGTGCTCCTAACTAGTGATTCTCTTGAGGTGATTCTATGATATTCTTCTCGGTCCAGCAGCATCGGAGTATGGGTGAATAGATCAGTTAACATGGAGCATGTTCCCTTGGAATTCCGAACTTTGCGCGATGGCTCGATTTTCCTGCAACACCACACTTCCGGGCTACATACCTACTTCTCCGTTGCTACCATTAAGGTTAGATGACTTATTATAGTACATGAGAATCGCATGTGGCAGTTAACATCTTAATGTTTAATTTAGAAGGCTTGCGAAGCAGGTCTGCACAGCATTGTGGCGGATGGGATGCACTCGCTACATCCCAAGACTCTCGGATACCAGGCGCAGCTTTACTGCGTGCATGGCGTGTGCTCCCAAGGAGTTGAGGTACCGCTCCTCTATTGCATCACAGCGAAAAAAACGGAGAGAACCTACGTGAAAATTTTTGAAATGTAAAAGGAAGCGTCACTGGGGATGCACCTAGGTGAGTGGTCCTAGACTTCGAAAAAGCAGCTATAAAAGCTGCCCGCAAGGTCCTTCCAAGGGCATCTGTGGAAGGCTGCGCCTTCCACCTTGCGCAAGCCTTGAATCGCAAAAGAGACTCTTTGGGGTTGAGGAAATACATCCATGGAACAGAAAGAGAAGAGTCAGTCTTGGAATGGTGGGAAACAGTGAAAGGTACGTGGAGAAAGAAATTCTTCGCTTGACTGTCGCAAAAACAATTAATTTTTTTGTTTTTCAGGAGTGGTGTTTCTTCCTCAACCACTGGTAGAACGGGTGAGGGCCCTTCGAGCTCCCCCCCATCCCTACGGACCACAATGCTTACAGGAAATGTGAAGATTTCCTGCACTACTTCCGAGAAACATGGATGCAAGAATTCTACAAAGATCTCTGGTGCAAATGGAACCTTGAGGAACTGCGGACCACAAATTTAGCGGAAGCGTTTCATAGGTAAACGATAGCCCTAGAGCCTTTCGAGTATATGACGCATAAGCTTTTCAGAGTACTCTCACTCACAGTACTCATAGACGTGGACCATCCGCCTCTGAGCGTACTCATTGAAGCTCTTCGCAAGCTCAACTACGAAGCGAGGGCAGCATTAAAACGCCTCCAAGAGGTTGCATTTTGATTATTGTCATGCTCACAATCATGCTTTCAATATTGTATCCGATGCAGGACCCGAACAACGCCAAGGAACTTCGAAAACGAGTTCAGGAAAGAAGAGCGAAGATAGCAGAAGAAATAAGGCTGTAAGTGCTTTTGTGCTGCACAAACCGAGATGCATTACATTTTATTGCTTTTGCAGATTCGAAGATATATACCGGTTTGGGCCAAATGAGCAGGAAATAGAGCGGTTCTGCAGGAAGATGTCTCGATACGTCACCGGTAAGGCCAAATAGTTTCCTTATAATATGAAGAATTTGAACTTTCACATTGTGTTGTCCCTACTGTATATTATTTTGAAATGTGTAATAATAACAAATAATAATTACAATAACATTAATAATAATAATAGTAAAGTTTCCAATCCATAAGATCAATATCGGCTCACTCAGACTGCCAGAGAGGTCACAGCCAACTAATTAAGCGAGGTCACCCCACAGGCGAGTGAGTGGAAGTGCGAGAAAGGTGCGAAGTAATTAGAAGTGTGGAACCGTGGAACCAAATACCGACTCTCCATTCCGTTGCATGAACCCGGCTTTGGAATGGGACTAATTTCGGCTTGAAATTACCGACGATTACTTTAATGAGCCTATGGTTCTCGCCTAAGAGCTTATTAGGTCCATTTAAAGCGTTCCAGACTCCACTTCTTCGCAGCTTGATCTTAGTGCGTAGGGAACCAAAATTCTAAAATTGGTCGAATTCATCCTCATAATCGCAAACCTCTTATTCGGATTGTCAAGCTTTCTTACGAATTGATGTTCATGGCGTATTGGCGAGGACACCTTTGCCGACGCCTGTGGTGACACATGTTCCAAGGGATACTTCTTCTCCGGTCTCGAATACGTTCAATGCCTCCTCGTCTCAGTCAGTCCCGCGACGTCTACTTGATCTTTCTAGCTCCTAAACACGCTTCCTATGCGAGCGTCCGTGCGTAAAAGTACAGATCGCCATTCTTGTCTTCGCATTTTGAGCAGTCTGCTCTGGCTCTGACATTTCAGCAGCCTTTCCCATACAGTTCAATCTAACGCTGCCGTATTCAGATTCAGGGAAAAGGGGCCCATCCGATCACTGTTTTTGGCATTAAGCTACCCATAGTAGCTCGCCAGCTTTTACGTGGGGCCGGATGACTCCCGGTGCTAGCCTGGCTATCTCGAAGTGGGCGAGGAGCTTTGTTTTTGTAAGCGGCCTCTGGTCGCCGCCCAGATACTTTCCAGTCATTTAAATGCAACCTTTTGACTGAGTCGATGGAAAGTATACCAACTGCATCCACAGACTCTCTGCATGCATGGGTACACCTGCGAGATGCGCAAGGTACATTGATCAGCACAGGAGAAACGGTGAATCCACCCCGAATTAATGGGTGTCTCTGAGCGAGTATTGGCGACATTTGATTGGCGATTCACTCCTCTATCCGCCACCTGGAGACGCGTTACGTAGGCTCGCCGCTAATTATGCAGTTTCTGAGGGAGATTTCCTACTAGATATTTCGCCGTGGTTAGGATTAATGTGGCGGTGACATGGCAGGCCTACTCTATGATAAGGTTCAAAGTGCAATTGTCGAGTACCCAAGACGTTACAGTAATCATGGATATCTAATCTAGATTACCTTCAGGGCTTGACTGCAGAAGTGTACGCAGCTTCATGCAGTCAAGTCAGCAATTAGAAGCTTAATCGAAGGAAGGATACTACTCCAACACGCAAGAACCAAAGCCTTATATGTAGGCTTAGCCCATCATCAGTAATTTTATGGTGGCGCTTGGTATTCATTCAGAACGACCCTCAAGAGCACCTTTTCTTTTTTTATTATGTGCACTTGAAGCTGTGGCAATATCTATGACAGATGATCTTTTCACCATTCCCGAAATTCGGTAAGATGTCCATTAGAATAAAAGAAATATATAGAAATTAGAAAAGCTATAGCCAAAAGCTCCAAGGCTATAGAAAGAGCGCCCACTTGTCAGTAATTGAAGATTATCCATCAATCATGATAGGAAAGAAACCATCATTTTTGTAAGCATATTACTCACAATGACACTATGACATTGTTTATGTGAAGGCATTGAGGCACTGTAGGGCTTGCGTTCGCTTAGGAAGTAATTTTTGTGTGCTACTCTGGAATCGCTAATTTTTGTTACTTTGCGGTCATTGTTCCGTTAGCTTCTCACTAATATAACCCACTCCATATGACTACTGTTCACATCTCTTCGAACTTCGCATTTCACACCGTTTCAATAGGACCTACATTCTTGACGATTAGAATATCTTACGCTTTCTTTCAACTCGTTTGACAAAATCATAGGGTCAAATCAGAATCAAGCTGATCTCGGTTTGTTTTCTCAAGTGAAGTCATAATTGTATATACAGAATGCCCGTAGAAGAAATACATCTGCATCGAGATAGATATTCTTGAATGATCATTGCGAAAAGTTGTTTGATCGTTACAGCGAATGCTGCCTTCAGAGATCCATCACCTTTAGTTACTGCTATGGGACTAGCGTTACGAACTCACCAACAGCTTTGATCTTTTTTTCACTCGTATAGTTTTGAGGTGCCTCACTATGTACTTGAGAATGAATGGTCATCTAAATCCTTGCCAATCAAAGATTACAAGCGTGAATCCATGCTCGAACATTTCGACAGTACCATGTAAATAAGATTTGAACAAGTATTCCGCTAAAGTCAGTCTTTTAACATTTCATTCTGCTGATAGTGGAGAGTTCGTTTTGCATAAAAAAGCAAAACAAAAGCAGCTAAACGAGTGCAAGGTCATAATAAATGGTAGCCTTTCATCGAGTTTGAATTCGCCGTCCGTACAAATTCATACGCTTCAAAAAATGGACTCACCTCTGATATCAGAAAACAGCACTGTGGCGCAGGTATATAGTTGAGGTAAGATGGGCTTTCCTACCTTGAGATCTTCGGCGACGGTTCTGCAACAGACATGGGAATGCGAAAATAGAAAGTACTGCTTTGGTGAATCGTTTCCCCTATGTACTCTTAAATCAGAATATGAAATGGAACAATCCAGACCATTTCAATTCACTAGATACATGAAGCAGCTTGGGTGAATGTGTAAAATTCAAAACTATGAGTGATATAAATGAAGCAAAGTGTAAACAAGCTCCAGCAGTTTTCATTAGTTCTTTCGGGAATCTTCTATGAAGAAATTGTGAAGCGTGTGGGTCTCACTACATCTAGTAACGTTCAGTGGCTCGGTCTCCTTTACGTTGACAGGGCATCCATCTTTTACCAGCATATGCCGTCATATTTACACATTGACTTGCAGCTCTCTTTCATTTTCCCTCTTTCATAGCGATGACACCAGCGCAGAGGACAATCTCTGATGCACCATCGACGAGTTTCATCATTATGGTTCCTATAGGAAGCAGAGAGATGATTCATTGATGATACTTGGTCAATCCCAACCGCAATACATACAGTAGCGCTTAAAAGTATTCGACCAAATGCTTCTTCAGTCGCACTTTTCAGTCGTAACTTCTTTCGTACTGGATCTATTCATGCGAAATTTTAGCATGCGTAGCATGGGTGCAGTGTACATATTTACCACTATCAACCTGCAATCTGACTATGTTCCAGATATTCCAAAGGGCTTGAACAAAGAATCAACTGGAAATACGAACGATAGCCCTTCCGAAATTTTTTTCCTTTTTGCCATGTCCAAAGTGCACGAGCGCTAATGCCGAACCCAGAAGAGAAGAAAAACCTGCCAAGGTCCGAATAACTGCAGCCGTCACAATAACTGCAGCCGTTCAGCATAGTCTACAAACGCCTCCCCATTAGTATGTGGATATGGCTGCTTTGCAGTCAAGTAGTGTTGGACAGTGTAGAATATGCTTCAGCTAAACATATCAAACTTTCATACGATTTGCTCTACTGAGCAAAAAGTTAAGGCCGAAAAGGCTTGGCCAAATACTTTTGAGCCCTACTGTACTTCTTTCTAGGCTCGTTTGGAGGTTGCGTGGCTACTTTGTTCCCCGTCATTCAGGGCCTAAGGAACTTCAAAGTTCTCCTTTCTGAGTGCCATCCGGCGTTGTTATTTTATAGGCAGTCAAGCATTTCTCAACAGGTGCTCGATTCCTTTCAATCTGCCTTTATCTCATAAACAATTTTTTGGCCATGATCGTTGCGCGCTTCGGTTGCTCTCGTGTACTCAACACAAAAAAGGAGCGAATGTCTCTTGACATCCTGGCCTTGACTCTGGTTTTGATTGCAAACTTTTTTTTGTGGACAAGGATACTTGGATGACCTGCCAGCCTAGGCCTCGGGCTAAATAGAGTGAGCTGAGTAACAGAGAAGAGAAGTTATGTTTCCACGTCCACAAACAGCTAATTTAATTTTGCTTATTAATCGAAGTTACGGCGGAGGTATTGTAGTAGTAAAAGGCGCACTTCACACATGCATCTCGGTTCACATATCGGTCCGAATCCCATATCGATATCCGCCTGAACCAGCCGAGCCTCTTATCCCTCCGAGGTCTATTAACTGGAACCAGACTCGTGTTGGAGGATAAAAGCACTGACATGGGTACATCGGTTGGCCATTGCAAATCATTCATAGGCCACATACGCATTTAATATGCCACTACGATTCGGAATCCTTTATCGACACTGGTAGGTCGTTCGCAGAACAATGGGAAAGTCCGTCATTCTGCATTCCATCATTTTCGTTTCTTCAATCTACCATCAACCTAACGCTGTCATCTTGGGTGTCCCTCGTACACTCGGCGAGTTCCGCAGAGAGGTCACATAGTTTCGATCCGACGTCGTCTACACGTCATAATGAATAGATGAAGTTACCCGATTTTCCCCCTTTTTTGCATGTAAGCCAATGCGGTTAGCGATGGGTTCGTTAATTCTGACGTACATGTATTGACGGCTGCCTAGCTGCCTACCTCTCTCTCTGGCAATTCGCGCCCCTCTCTTCATAGCAACCTCCCATCGTACCTGTTTGACTAGCTCCCTTGTTGAGGGCGCTCCTTTTGGAATAAAGTAGTCGATTTAGCAGTAGCAGCAGAGGGCAAAATACAATACTGCTACTTATTCATGGACAACCAACGGTCTGCGACGGATTGATCCGTCGCAAAGCGTCGCATAGCCATAACATTTGAAAAGTGCACCGATCAAGTTGAAAGTATGAACATCTAAAAGCTCTAGTCGTGAGGAATCCACACATATGATTAATTTTTGTTTTTCTTGAATTTTTTGCCTGCACTTTCACGAAAAATGAAACGTGAGTTTCTCAGCACCTAGGGTGTCACTTGTGGATACGTCATCATCGTAAACCCCCCCCCTCTCATTGAAAACTTCGTTCTCAGCTCCTGAACTTTATAAATAGCACTATATTCGAAGAGAGCATAAAGTTCCGATCATATTGATATCCCTCCTGATATAATTTGACTTTTTCAGCTGAATTAGTGGTTCGATTAACCAAATTTCAAGACATTTGAACAACATCCTTCAAGCCATCTATTCGGATGGAATACCATTGAACAGCTCTGCTCATGGAGAATGCAGTCGTACAATAATTTTTCAATTCCCTTCAATATCGCAGCGTCATTTTCAGGAAAATGAAAGAGTGATTCTTGAAGCTTCCGAGGTGTCGCCTGCGGATGAACATAATCATAAACTCTCTACTTCAATCTATAGATCCATTCTCAAATTTTGAGAGCCACATTTGGCCCTATGGTCGCGATCATGAAATCGTGTTCAATTTCATACCTTTCATGCAAAATTCAAAATGTCTCAGCAAAAAGCACTCACTTAAATTTCAATTTTTAAAGCATTCCAGAGTTCAGAAGCTAAGAGAGATTTTCAGGGGCTCGTTTCAAGGGGAACGAGGTAGTTTCTACTCATTTGAAGGCTTCGATCGCGATATGCAAGAAATACTGCCAGACTAGTTGCAAGTTTAAATTCATCACAAATTTATATTTCAAATTTCAAACAATTTCCAATTAATTTTTAATGAAAATTCATCTATGATTGTATAATTGATCAGCAATGATATGGCCTGAAAGCAACCACGTTTAGAAAGACCTTTGTTTATTTGTTTTCATACAAAATGAAGTTGACTGAGTCGCCTTCTAACCGAACTTTGAGCCAATTGACCCCTAGGCATCGATCTCATCAGCCAATCGTCTTCGCAGGTGCCGTTTCCATTCAAGAGCACGCTTGATGACACATATTATTACACAACTGGCAGAAAGAAGCGACAACGCTGAGAATCACAGTTTAGCATTAATAATTAATTCTACTTGAAGTACAATGAAGCTTGTAGTATCACTTTTTGCTTGTTCACTTTTTGCTTGTTTGCTTGTTTTTGCTTGTTCTTGTTGCTTTGCTTTTTGCTTACTCGTTTACATTCAGCTCCCGCATTATCAACAGATTACTGACGTGTCAAGTTATGTTATGATTTGTTTTACTGAACAGCCTTCCTCATGAGATCATGTACTGGTCAAAATAGTGAATATAGAAGTATTCTCATTGAAAGGATAATGAAGTGGAATCATTAAATGCTAAAACCAGACGGAATATTACATGAACCCGTATATTATTGCAGTGAAAATACAAACATTCAACATTAATTGAACAAACTATCTACAGTTCCGTTCAATATATGAGATTCTGACTATCATCATCGAAGCGGTAAATGTCATCATCGTTTTAAGGAGTGTCTCTATAGCGAGTCTCTACCTACCTTCGATAATGTTTCTTCCTTCCTGCTCTACTACGCGTTCCATCCTTTTCCTAATGCCACTGATGTATCGCATGCAAATTTCAGGTGTCAAGGTCTTCCAGTATTGGGCGATAGCCACTTTTAAGTTCTCCGAATTTCGAACTCCTCGTTTCCTACGAAAACTTATGAAGACTGGTAAGGGCCACTATATACACGCGTCAATTGATGTCAAATACCTTATGCAGTTCTTCATATTGCCCCACACCACTTCAATTGAGTTCAGGTGTGGTGATTCCGCGGCCCACTGCAGCCTATCGATCCTCCTAACTCTCCAGCCTATTCATTGTGAATCGGCTTTTGTGAGGGGGCGCACTATCTTGAACCACACGACAGAAGCCTGAACTTATCGTATCAGAGAAGAAGCAAAGTAAGAAGGCAGTGTTCAGTTGAGAGCAAAACAAACCGTTGTATACACTAGACATGAAGGGGGTATCGATTCGGCTTGTTCCTGGTAGAAAAGCAAATTGTGTGGTTCCGCTAACTAAAATACCACCCCATATGTAGACCTTTCGGGATGCTTGGCCCTACTTCTCACTCTCGAATACTGACCTCCTCGTTTTACGAAGCAGTACTTTCTCGAACAGTCAACTAAAAATATATTGAGGAAGCCCAGAAAAATTCTTTTTTTTGCAAACGTAACTGTTATTCATACTTTGCACAGTGCATTCATCGACCGATACACAGTCTGAAAATGTCATCCCTGCAGCAAGCCTTCCCGAGCAGGAATCCAGCCGAACCTGTTTATTGCTTTCCCACATTGTGTGACGGTATTTGGTTGTCGCCTTCTTAATCCCCGAACGGTGTCGTAGCCTACTGATATAGGATGTACCCACAACAACACCGCGAGTCCTGAGCCGATTCCCAACTTCTTGCGGTGTTGCCGAGCTATTACTCTTTTAACACCTCTCGATTTTCAAGAGAATGACATCGTAGTGGACTGAAAGAAGTCGTGCTAAAATTGCCGAAGACAGCAAAATATTTTCTTACAAACCATGGAGGGCGCGCGGTGAGAAGGATTCCTCAGGAGCAGGAACGCCTTCGAATTTCTTTAAAAACCGTCCAACTGCCTGGTATCTGATAGACGGATCAGTCCAAAACCTTTGATACCACAGCAGCACAACTTTTACAATGATTTATAGTTATAGAAAAAACAAAACTCGGCTTTTGTAACTCTTCGGTAACCGAGAGGACCGATTGCTCTCATTGACGACGACAGTGGTAATATTATAGAAATTTTTTCCGCTAATGTAAGAGCATCGAATAATAAAGAATAGCTGTAAAGACTGGAGGAAGGCGATAACAATGTAAGACATAGGCGGCACGGCCTATTGGCACATATCTTTGGGACTTCAGGATACACCCGAAACTAATCACTGTGGGTATCAGACTCTCAACCTGGGCTGGCGTTATTTGACCCTTGGATCGCTGCATTGACTAAGGCCTATAAATACCAATCTGCAATAGATTTCTTCGCTAGGTAGAGCTCTTTGAACTTTTCTTTTTATTCTCCATCTCATAGGAATTGTCGTTTCTCATTCCGAACAGTGTCGATGGTATTTCATTCCAATAAAGCCATTGCATAATCGGAACTTGAACTTTGTTTCTGTCTTGCAGTGGACAAATTTGGCACTGGCTCTTTTCATTGAAATGCATCTTGCAGCTCTGAATTGCGCGTTGTTGAAAATGAAGCTAGGAGAGGGCGGCATTATTTTTATCTAGCACTGGGTGCTAGAACGCAGAGAAGGAAGGGTTACCGTTTTGGTGAACCCTGCTTCATCAGAGTCTTTTACTTGCTTTGATTTTCCCTCTGTTCTCTGTTTTGGGATAGCATTACTTTGCTTCACTCCTTTCTTTATCTTTTATATAGTTTTGTGCTGCTGAACTGAAAAATGTATCATTACTGTGAGTGTTGGTGATATCAGGAGGCATCTTATTGAGGATTGCCTTTTTAAAATTGAAATGACAAGTCAATTGTTATAAAAGAGCTGTATACATGACTGATGTGGTATACCGACCAGGGATGTACTATCACATGCGCATGGTCCGGGATCGAATCCCGGGTCGATATCGGTCCAGTTTAGCCGAGCAATCCATCACTCTAGGGACGGTTATTTGGTAGAGCACTCGTCTGAGAGGATAACATCACTACGATCTTGAGTAGAAGTCGAATGCGTGTCACATCGCAAAAACGGGATCGAATACCAATACTTAAATGTGTTCAATTGGATTTTTGCTCAGCTACGTTATTGCCAATTTCCTGCCATTTTACGACACAGCTTTTGATATGCTATCAGAGAATTTACTTTTCTTTGGAAGTAGCTGGAAAAGCTACCAATCGTTCAACGTCTTTTCCTCTAAAGTCTTTTTTGATGTCTTGTTTGGAAGTTGTTAGGGGCTAGAAAACTATCAGAGCTTCTCGATTTGAGCTATTCTTGTCTCGGATAGTTTCGCGGGTCTCTGTTGAATCTTCCCAAGAAATGAAAGCGTTGGTGGAGAGACTACGTCGAAAAGATTACTTCCCTTTCTCTTACTGTCCTTGGGAAACATTGAACTTCTATCAGGTAATGAGGTGGAACATGATTGAATATAACTGGTTAACCCATTGACGACCCTGCAGTCCACATGTGGACTGCAGTTGTATATTTTGTTTTATTTATCCATATCTCCACTTTTTAACGATCTCTCTTGTCAAAACATAAGATCAGGTCCAAGGCAAACTATATACTGCGTAGTCCCAAGAAATCTTTTAATTTTGCAATTATAACAATAAACGTAGATATCATACATACATATATATTTGCTGTTGATTTTCAGGGTATATCTACTTTCTGCACTAATTTGGATAGTTTAACACCACATCGGTGCATTTTGAAGAAACATGTGGTCCTTCAATGATTCCTTTCGCTTAAAAATGTAGTAAATGGGAAACTGCTCCTCATTAGAAAGCCTCAGTAGCCGACTAAAATTCGAGTTCCTCCTCCTCGTTAGTCATATCCTAGACTTGCGATTTCAGAAAAAATTGGACAACTTCAAATTCAAAATTCAAAAAAAATGGTCGTCCGGGACCATGCAGTCCACATGTGGACTGCAGTCTGCTTTTCCCGCCAAATGTGATGGTCGTCAGTGGGTTAATATCGCGGAGCTCTGCGATCTCAGGGCTCTGCAATCCGATCAATAAGTTAAATAAGTTAAGGCTCGGTTGTGAGTGTGAGGGATGCTGGCTCGCGTCTTATCTCATGCTTCATCAGGGAACGCGAGCGAGCGCCTCTTCTCAAGCTGTATTACTCTAACTTACTTTCTGTTACCCTTGTTGACCTCTACTACTCATGGTCACTTCAAATTGTTGCTCAACAGGTCATATATTGTATTGCTCAGTGCCAGTTCATACTTAGAACTTGACTCTCGTTGTTTTCTGTTACTGATTATGGTTTAAAGGCACTGTTAACGAAAAAGTGTTTCGGAGATTTGCACATGGTTTGAATTCGAAGCCACCTCTGGTACCATTTGTGCAGGAATAAGGTCGGAAAACGGCTGGATAGGGCACAATAACGGGCCGGAGAGATATCCACGGTCGCCCTCCGCCCCTCCATCGGTGTCACGTTAGACGAGTGTCGAGTCAATATGGATTGCTATTATTCGTTCTAGGACCCACGCACAAACAGCTAACCGCCAGTGATGAGGCGATGTTTTTATCCCACTCTTTTTTCCTCTGTTTTTCTTTTTGCTGCCGCAATCCCTTATTGAATTTCCTACTCCTAGAGGCTGAAAAAGGTGAGCTACTTTTGCTGTTACTAAGGTTTTTTTGTTGGTTCATGCTTATAAGTGAATGAATTGTGAATTACCATTGCCTGTTATTCGCACCAGGACCCACACGCGCGCAGTGAAACGCACTGTTTAGCTCGTCCGGGCGCCCCACCTTCTTCATTTTTCTGGTTTCATTAACGTCCAGCCCCCTTTTTAACTTTTTTTCGAGGCCCTTTTTCACTGTGAAAACACCGATGCACGCAGTTTCTTCACCTCAGTCGCACTAGTTTCGATCTTGTCTTTCGTTTTTCATTGTAATCTGGATTACCCAAAATCATGTTAACGGTGCCTTTAATCACTCAAGTTTGAGGTTCTATCTGTCATCCTGTGGATGAAATGTTAGACTCTACGTGGTGTGGTGTGACTATCCGCGTGGCACAACCCGAGATATCTCTCATATACTTTTTTCAGTTAATATTACTACATTGACAGATTGCTCAATTTATTCGTTTATCAGGTGACTGTTATGAAACCATTATTTAGTTAATGTATTACTGTTTATATGACTGACTGAACAACATCCCTCGAGATCAGTCCGTTTATTTATTTCGGATAATTGACAAACCCATCCTAGCAGCGGGTTTTATAAGAAGAAGCTTTAAGTGCGAGAAGCTCTTACTAGTTGCCAGTTGACTTCATAGCTGTTAAAAAAGTCTACGTTGGTAGCTTTCGATTAGGTGGCAGTCAAGGCAATCAGTACGTCCAATGAAAAGTGCCCTTACAAGGACAGGAAGCCAAAAAAAAAACTAACAAGCCGATAATCTCCGTGACCAACCAATCACTCGTGAGAAAGCACAATCGCTAATTCCAAAATAGAATCGATCAGAGTCAAGTGTTCCATAGCCACAGTTTCATAGGTTTAAAATCCAGTAAAATAATATATTTTATTTCTCACAGAACTGAATCGTAAAGCTTCATTTGAGCAGGAGTCGAGCTGAAACTACTAATTATAGCATTCGTTCCCGGTCCCTTTGTGCAGATAGTATTAAGTGAATATAAATACGTCTTATGAAGCGAGCAAGTGGATACGCATTTCGTGGCACACGGGCGAACCGCCAGAGATGGACTTCATCATGAGTGAAACATACCGTGGTAATAAATTGATCGATTACGTGGGATACGCCTCACATTCTCCTGCCATTCAAAATCGTGGAGGCGTTTTGAATGCTCATGGGGCCTACGCAGTGATTTGTGGTGGCCAGTTGATGTACAAATCAGTGTTTCTACTCTCTCAGATGAGTTTGGTACTAATCAACCGAGCTCGGAGGAGAGAAGTTGTTCTTCTTTTTATCCTCTATCTCATACAAGTTGTCGTTTCTCATTTTGAACCCTTTTCATTGATCCTTATTGTCGCCGTTTCTACATATAATATTCCCCGTTTTCTCATGCTAATGAGTTTAGGTTAATGAGAAATGAAGACTGGCTAGATTTAGTTTAAAAATGTCATCTCTATCGTGTTCTTCGACGTAGTCCCGATACGATCTCTACCCCCTGGTACTGAGACGGAAATGTCACTATGGCTCGCTGGCAAGGAAGGAGCTGCGAAGGAAAGGTGCGATCATTCAAGAATCCGCCGTATTTCGCCTTCATTCAGAGTTTATTCGCCCCCAGAGCTCAGAGCTCATCCGCTCAGGTCCTTTTTATGAGAATAAGGGAATATGCGAAATGAAGAGTCCGAGTGTGAGTGTTGATGGAGTACTAATTGAAGTCGTCTTTGACGTCTCCTGCGCCCCACCGTGGAACTCATCTCCGTGCAAAGAGGTACCCCTTCTCTCAGCAAGGGAAGGTGGCTTGATGCTGAGGAATGCAAGGATGGAAGAAGTGAAGCCCGAGATGATGATCTCTATGAAGGCAGTACAGCACGAGATGCTTGTAGAACTTAGAGAGTAGTGGTATGATAGATACTTCCTGCTCAATAAGCAATTTTCAAGAACTGCATGTCCACAGCGCATTCAACGAGGTTGCACAAGTCAGAGCACAGGTTTAGGGAGCTTCTAAGAAGGTATCCAGCTGAGCAAGCTCGGGTCCTTTGAAGGGCTGCTTACTTGTATCTGCTTTTCAATTGTTTTCGTGGACCTTATTTATAAGTAGCTTTTCCTTTTCAGGAAGCACTAGTTGTGATTATGCTTGCGAGAAGGATATAGTGGAATTAAGGGAATTGAAGGGGCACAATAAGAATCTCTTTGTGCTTGAACTGGAGAAGACAGTGTTAGGGGATTAGCCTGCAGAGTTAGAGAGATCAGTCGACGACATTAATCGGTCGGAGGATAGAATCGCTTTCATGAAGCAGGTGAAGTACAGTTTGTTTGTTATACATAACCGAAGTCAGAGATTGATTTAAACTGTTACCGCTTTCTTATCAGTACTTATTCCAATACTATGACGTTCCGGAAGGGATGAAAGATGATGTTTGGAAGAAAGCAAAGGAAATGCTGAATAGCCTAGTGAGGAGGATGCGAAAAACCAGGAAAGATGGGCGAGCAGCTGTCCAAAGAGGCACCCCTAAGAACGTCGATGACATTTACCGCTTCGATGAAGATAGTTGGAATTTCATATACAAGTCGTGCCGCCCGGCTAACGCCGGGCTTTGTTCCTTCTTATGGTGTCGCCCGGCTTCGCCGGGCACTTTTTCTTCCCGTAAGAAATCTGCTATGTGTAAATAACACTTCGGATTTTCCTTCTTCTTTGAAAGCTATACACCCTCAGTAATGGCTCAGAATTGGGAGCGACTTTTTGTATTATAGTCAATTATATATTAATTAGAAGTCTCGATTAATTGCTCTTCATCTCGAAATTGTGTCACATTGATGGCTTATCTGATTAACAGCCAATGTCTTGAATGATACCCAGAAATGGATAATAACGCCTATCACAGATGTCGTTATCAATGGAACATTTTCTCCACGGATTTTTCATTAATTGGGAATCCCAAATCATTAGCGGTCAGATGAGTTTAGTCATGAATGATTTGTCACAAAACAAACCGTAACGGTCGTAGTTTAACAGCAAGAAATGAACAAAATTCTCATTTCGTTATGGAGAAATGTCTTTGACCGGTCGCTATTACAGCATTTACAGCACTAAAGAGTCAGTGTTTGATCATAAGTGCCCTTTTGCTCTCTAGG